AATATCAGTTAGTCAAGTTTAGGAATCATTTTTTATCCTAACGTGGATTATGGAAACGATTTTGTACCGGAAATACGTAGGAACGTTATGTTCCTGGGTCTGTAGAACGTTTGATATCTATTTTATCATGGTCTGGGCTAAATTTTGATGAAGGTGTGTAATTATGTTATTAAATTTTTTATATATTTGAGTTATTTGATCAAGAATTTGTGTACCGCTTTTAAAGGACCTGGGAAACCCGGATCCTATGGACCATATTATCAGGTGGATGAATTTAAGAGATTGTGTATATACTCAAATTCGAACAGAACTAATCAATTCGTACATATTGTTTTTAGTCTGAACGAACAGAACTATATAAATATCACGTGAACAAACTAATTAAAGTAAGAACCAGTGATCTGTAAAGCTATGAATTTATAAAAAGCGATATACGTAACGAGTAAATGTTTCGTGTTACTAGGAGGGAAACGCATATAGGTGTTTTTGTAGCCAAGAAAGGCTTAAGCAAATTCGATCACTTGCCCAAAAAGCAGGTAAAAGTATCGCATACGACCGTCATTGCCTATATTTGAGCCAAAGGGAAGTTGACCTAAAATTAGCAAAGGGAATTCCTTATGTTATTCGACTAAAGGTATCTTTCAACATCCCTTTCGCCTTCTCAAAGTTGCTCTTCGGTAACAAATCATTTTTGATTAATAAGACACCAGATGGTGTTGTAAATATAAAAGATCTTATATATGGTAACGTTATGTTCAACGATAAGCATATCGATGATACTATTTTATTGAAAAGTGATGGATATCCAACTTATCATTTGGCGAACGTCATTGATGACCATTTGATGGGAATCACACATGTATTACGCGGGGAGGTAATCTATATTACACAATTTTTAGTTTATACCATACCACTACTTTATTATAAATCTTATCTGTATCGATTTTAATAGGAGTGGTTACCCTCGACACCTAAACATATTGTTCTATATAAAGCATTAGGATGGAACTTACCTGAATTTGTGCACTTACCTCTATTGCTCAATCCGGATAGATCCAAATTATCAAAGCGATCCGGTGATGTTAATGTTGAGGACTTTGCGGTACCTTAACATCTATTTATTTATTTATAATTTAATTTTTTTTTTTTTTATTAAATTAAAAGATATATAAAATGAATTAATTCAATTTTTTGCTACTCATAGCAAAGAGGCTATTTGCCCGAAGCGTTAATAAATTTTGTTGCATTATTGGGATGGAGCTCATCATGTGAAAAAAAAGACGACATATTTACTTTGGATGAGTTGATATCTGAGGTTTTCAATTTTATAAAATCATATATTATTATTATTTTTTGAATAAATTAATGTATAAATGATTTTCAAAGTTTTCATTAGAACATATTGGCAAATCGGGCGCGATCGTAATGTATGATAAACTTGATTGGCTGAATAAACAACATTTGATTCGTAAAAGTGAAACTCCAAATGGATTGGCAGAGCTTGTATCATTATTAAAACCATTGGTGTATAAAAAATTTGCCAAACAGTAAGATAATTTACTATTGTGAAAAATTTTTATAGTTATTTATTGATTTTTTGAAGTTAGGCTTAATGAATCTGACGAAAAATATAAACTTGGAGACTTATATCTTTCCAAAGTTATAATGACAATCAAGGTAAGCAATGTAAAAATTTGCTTTATTAATTTGATATTTTTAGAAAGAAATGTCCGTAGCAACTTGTTACATATAATAGCCAATAACATTTGTATTTAGCCTATGTTACTTGCAGATTGACTATTTATTACTTCTATTATAAATAACATTTTATTAAAAAAAAATGTTTCTAGGATCGAATAAAGAATATTAATGATATAACAGAATTATGTGGATACTTTTTTGTTCATCCTGACTATTCTTCACCAGAATCCAAAGCTGTTAGATCATATATTCAGGATAATGATTTAAGTTAGTGGCAAATTTTGGTTTATTTTTGATCGTTTAGTTTGTTAATTGACATTTATTTTTTTTTAATATAGAATTAATAGCTACAATTGCATTCGAACGAATTAATTTTAATAAAACTGAATTTGAAGATGATAACATTAAATCTGTTATTACTAATATTATTTCTATTAGTCAGCTTAGACAAAGTCAAGTTATGATGGCTTTGAGATATATTATTACTGGAATTAAGGTTAATAATATTTTTATTTTATTATATTATTATATTATTTATTAAATTAATTAATTTTTTTTTATTAAAAAAAATTTATTATTAAGATTGGAGCTAGTGTTGTAGAAACAATGAAAACGATTGGAAAAGATGCAGTTTTACAACGTATTAATAAAGTTTTAGAGTTATTAAATTAGATTTTATAAAAAAAAATATTTTAAATTATAAAGAAGAATAAAAAGTAAGGCAATTAATTATAATATTAAAATTTGTATTTCTGATATTAAAAACTTTTTTTGCTTGTTTTTTTGGTGCTATTGGTTCTTTTAATTATATAACTTACAGTAAATTTCTTTATAAATTTGTAAAGAAATTTATATAATTGAAAAAAAAATTATATATATATATATATATATATATATTTTTTATATAATGAGGTTTATCTTTTAACTTTTTATTATTATCAAATAAAGAAATACATATACGTGTATATATATGTTTAAAGAATAAGGGAATTAAAGATAAGAGCTACTATATTCTTGATTTAAGCTATGTTAAAAAGGTTATAGATTTTTAGTTTTTGTACAACTAATTAATAAATAGTTGACTACTACTAATATATTAGTATATCTTGAATTTAATTTGTAAAGCAGAAATTGGGTTGGTATAGAGATATATTATTATGAGAAATAAAGTAGGTATTATAATAGCTAGTATATATATAATTTTTTTTTTTTTTTTTTTTTTTTTTAATTAAGGCGGCTTACTTTGCCGAGCGGATTTTATTAGTTTATTATATGAGGTCGTCT